GACATCTAAAACTGAACAGAGTTTTAATTCGCATTTTGTTATCATCAAACAACAGCGCGATGGTGAATCTAACATTTAAAATCTTTTATTAAAGTCGATAAATCTATGTGAATAATTCTAGACAATCAAGTTAGATATAACAAAAGGATTTTAATAGTATTACGGGGTCACAATGCATGTGGAGTTTACCGCTGTTGCCATAATCGTGTCCGTTTCAGCGATGATTTTTAACGACAAAAATGGACTGCATACGATACATATTTTAACTGATACGCAAAGCCTACTTGGTACATATTCATGTATATCTATTGGGATTTTTAGTATCGATGACATTTCTGTTTTTGTATTGATAAGATTTGTCTTTGCGTATTGATATGAATTGGCTTTTTACTTTTAGTGAGTGAGTGAGTTAGGTTTTACGCCGCTTTTAGCAATATTCCAGCAATATCACGGCGGGGGACACCAGAAATGGGCTTCACACATTGTACCCATGTCGGGAATCGAACCCGGGTCTTCAGCGTGACGAGCCAACGCTTTAACCACTAGGCTACCCGACCGCCCCTTTTACTTTTAGAAATTGATAGAAATTGTAGATAGGTTTGAGTAGCCGACCAACTCTCAGAAATAGAGTTAGTTTTCCCTCGCTATTGCATTTCTTGGCTTCGGGAGATCTGCACCAGATAGCCGATTTTACTGCAATTTTTGTTTTAAGACTGGCAAAGGGAATCTAACATATTTATACCATAGGTACTTTAACATGTTTTTAATTTTATGTACGTACTTCTAATTGGTTAATTTGCCTCACCTGGCATCCAATATGAAATACATGGTCACGTTTTTTGTATTCTTTTTTAAAGATACCCTAAAACAATATCATATTAAGTTGTTTATACTTTATGAACATCCATCTAATTGCTAATCCATAATCCCTAATCCTGGACTTGTCCAGTATATCAGTGGGTAATTTGCCTTTGTTGTTTTAGCCAAGTGTAGTGTTCAGTGGCATGTAGTTGTTTAGGAAGACAACCGTCACAACCTGTCAACGTTCTCGTGGGCGACCAGGGTGTGGAAATCGAACGCACATTTTATGCTGATTGAGTTTGTAGGCTATGTGTGGAAGAGGTAAGTGGACGAGTGATGTAATGGTTAGCCTTCGGTACTGAAAATAATTGACTGCACCTGGGCAACCGAACATAGTTTCATAATTCAGGACTTATAACGAGGTTCCATCAATGGGTTCTACCCGTCGGTGCATGGCGTACGCTGAAAAGGGTGTTGATCTATCTTTGGTCACACGTCTTTAATTCTGTAACAATTCACTGTAATTAACTCTTTAGGGTTATCATGTATATCGACCATATCATTTATAAGAATACTGTAGTGACATACCCAGTTCGACAATTTTGTGGTAGTGAGGTGAGTGAGTATGGTTTTACGCCGCTTTTAGCAATATTCCTGCAATATCACGGCGGGGGACACCAGAAAAGGGCTTCACACATTGTACCCATGTCGGGAATCGAACCCGGGTCTTCAGCGTGACGAGCGAACGCTTTGACCACTAGGCTACCCGACCGCCGCTACCAGATTTCTTTAATTATGTCTCTATTTGTCATCATCGTCCCCGTGATCCCGGGTTTCAGTGGTAAGCGCCTAATACCTGCATGCCTTTCGGCTTTCTAGCCGACGATTTTCGGATCCTGCCACGATAAAGGGACGTAAGTTCGCATAGAGAATGATAGCGACTTGGAAATCAGGGTTAATGCCGCACCACAACACTTCCAGATCATACAGACCTGTAAAAACAGTTTTATTTTCCTACGTACGTACTTAAAAGAACAGTTACGGAGACATAACTACTCTTTGCTTCGCATTTGAACGACCCTGAGATATTGTGTTGCTTTTGCAGATGGTTAGTGTATAGTGCCATAATCCTTTCCGAATTGGAAATTTGATTTACACGTTTTCTCGACAGTCAACGATACCATTCATGGTTTTGCAAATCAAGAACTCCTAAAGCAATATATCGTTGTTTCCAGTAAGTAAAATAGTGAATTTAGGCTGGAGGTCTTGTGAAATCGATATAAAAAAATAATAAAATGTGTCCTACTTACACATTTATATTTTTTAAAAAGGAAAAAAAACAAAAAAACAAGCATATTAAATGCGGCCCTATTACCGTCAGAACGGTCTTAAATAATGATAATTAGCGTCGACGGTTAAGCAAACGTTGAAAATGGAGAAATGATGGACGAGTTCATTAGCAACTATTGAAAGGCTGTCCACTGTTACACAACCCCAGCTATTCAACCTGTGTTTCTGACATCAGGAGATGCGAACCCTATTGATTTGTTGATATCATTAGTTGAAATCTGTATCACAAGCGCTACGATTGGCGATGACTCGCTCGCTGTCTTCAGTGGCAGGTGGTGAAACAGACAGCTCTTTGTCGTCGGCAGTCGCAGTCGAAAGTTGTAAGTACTTGACAACTGTTTTGGAAACGACTATTCTATAGGTATCATTCATTTTATGATTAAACAAAGAATCCGAAATCTAAATTATTTTAATTTACGAAGGTGAGTACATTCAATGATATGGTTCTTGGAGAATAAACAATATGTCACCGAAAAACATCGGAATTGTGTATCGATTCAATATGTTTATCAATTTTAAGCTAACGATTGCTTTTGTTGTAGAGAATTGATGGTAAACAAATAATCGTATTTTGATCGATGAGCGCATACTTTATAGACAGACAGATATATAATAGTTTTCCTCTCACCGCTGTGCATAAAATCCATGCATAAAATAGACGTTTATACATAAAAAATAATAATATAGCGCCACTAATATATAGTTATGAGAGACGATACACAGAACTTGATGATATACACAGTTAAAACGTTTTACCAACAAAGCAATAGCTTTCTGCGTTCTAATATTTAAAAAAACAGGTTTTGGCGGTGATATATATACATATATATACCTCATGTTTAAAAATAAGGACACACAGTTTCTTATTGTTTGACAGGTTTAAAAACTTGGACATTTAATGCCTTTATACTCTTAAAAAATGTAGATTCTTGAAAATGTTTAACCTCCTCGTCTTTTCTGAAAAGACAGTGAGTATGTTCGAGATACGTTCATGCGGATTCTGTTTATGCGAATTTCTGATTATGTCGATTAATGTTTGTTTCTCTCTCTCTCTCTCTCCCTCTCTCTCTCTCTCTCTCTCTCTCTCTCTCTCTCTCACACACACACACACACACACACACACACACACACACACACACACACACACACACACCACGTGCCCAGACACATGCACAACAACAAACATTATTCAATTAAATCAATCAAATATTGTTATGATTCGATCTGTGACTTATTTTGCATGCATGTGTTCTTATCAACTGACAAATATTTCTTGACAGGATGTACTATTGTTCTCTTACTTCGTGCGAGAATATTTACAACAGTTGCCATAGAACAATATAGCACACAGTGCCTTGCACGATTGTTTAACGAGTAATCGTACAGTGACTTATTATCGACATATTTTCTAGTATTTCTTCCGTTCTGGAAAATACAGGAACAAATATTTGCCACTGTTTCTTTTTCAAACAAATGTTGATTGGATGTCCTGAAAAAAACGTGTTGCGGATGCAGATTGTTTGCTTGGCTACTCCTTTCAGAGATAGATATTCGGCCACGACATTTGTTAATTTCAGTGCACCAAAGAAGGTGCTTATTACATCTTGCCCTTCGATATGTCTGGTATACTCGCATTCTTTGTGGACCGCCTCCGTGGTCTAGTAGTAGAGCGTCTGCCCTGAGAACGGAAGGTCGTTTTTTTTTTATCGACAGCCACGTTAAAAGATGGTACTTGTTGTTGCCCTGCCTGGCGCTCGACATTAATGGGCTAAAACCGGCCTTGGTCGTCTCGGAGTCAGTTTCCTGTGTCTGAGTGGGGTATTCCTGTTAAACTGCGGCATGGTATCTCAGTGAGCTAGCACTATAAAATCGGCATTGGTCCGGATTAGTACAAGCACACACACACACACGCACGCACGCACACACACGCACGCACGCACGTACGCGCGCGTGCTGTCTAAGTGAAATAATCTTGAACGCGACGTTAAACCCTATTTCGCCTCACTTGACCTCACCTCAACTTTTATTCAGTTTATTTTTAAGATAAATAAAACAGAATATAATACTATACTGAACCTTAAGCCTTCTGTTGAATACAATTGTATGTAATCACTTAAAAGACAGAATTGCGTCCCTTAGATGTGCCAGTATCCAATAATAGGGAATTCGCCTTACTAGCTTTGGTAACTCCAACCCGTTCCACTACAACACCGGGGCGGTCGGGTAACCTAGTGGTTAAAGCGTTCGCTCGTCACGCCGAAGACCCGGATTCGATTCCTGACATCGGTACAATGTGTGAAGCCCATTTGAGGTGTCCCCCGCCGTAATATTGCTTGAAAACTATTAAAAGAGGTGTAAAACCCTACCCACTCACTCACGGCATAGGTAGTCTACAAACGAGTTATAGGCTCATAAACATTGATAATTGGACTAATAAATCATGTTTAAAATCGGCGAATATATTGTTGAGTTTGTTAAGCTGATATATCGTAAATGGTTTGGTATATATGACACCAGCTATGACTTCAGCGAAAAAAACATGGGTCGGACATGCTCATGTTTCAAACCAAACATTACCGCTCTTTGCATTATTCCCGCACTATCACAGCGGGAGGCACGAGAAACTAAAATCACACATTGTACCCATGTGGGGAATCGAATCCCGGTCTTAGCGTGACGGGCAAACGCTTTAACCACTACCCTACCGCCCCTTCACCAGTGGATAAAACGGAGAGGTTATCATATATCTCGTCCATCTATTGGCGAGCGAAGGCAATACATTGTTCATCTGTTTTCTTCTTCTTTCAGATTAACAGGAAAGTGACACTGAACGTACAAGACATTTGAAGATGACCCTGTTCCTATTCTTTTTCGCTTGGACAACATTTGTCTGTGTTACTTGCCACTTCTACATTCCCGATCTCCCAGTGAAGCGCTACGTGAAACCAGGAGACATCAACATTGGGGCGATCTTCCCCGCCTACAGCTACGACAAGGTGAAACCATGCGGCAGTCAGTTACGCTCGACTGTCATTCTGCCGTTCATTGAAGCTCTCGTGTACACCGTGGAACAAATAAATAGCGATGATTCCATTTTACCTCAAGCAAAACTTGGCTTCGTCATTGTTGATGACTGTCTTAAAGAAACCACGACCATTGCCCAAGCATTGTCCTTTCTCCCTCAACCAAACGTCTGCATGTGCAACGACACCTGTTCACCGTCTAACAAAACAACGACACCTGCTTATGACATCATAGGGGTCGTAGGGTCAATGAAGAGCTCGAACTCAATTGCAGCAGCAACACTGCTCGGACCAGCTCATGTCCCACAGATAAGCTATGCTTCCTCCAGCGATGAGCTGAGTGATAAAACCCTTTATCCATACTTCCTAAGAGTTGTCCCCCCTGATAGATTTCAGGTTGAAGGAATCATTACTTTAATTCAACGATTCGGCTGGAGTTATATTTCTGTCGTATACTCAGAAGGTAGTTATGGGGAACTTGGCTTCAAGAATCTGAAGCAGCGGATGGAACAGCTAGGGTTGTGTATAGGAACATCCCACAAAGTTGCAGAAGGGGCTGAGCCGTGGGAGTATGACAAGGTTGCTCTGGACCTGAGGGATCACGGTAAGGTTGTCGTCGTCTTCTCTGGCCCGACTCACGCCAAGGAGCTCTTTTCAGCCGTGAAGCGAGCTGCTGATTTGAAAAGGTACGTCTGGATCGGCAGCGATGGTTGGGCAAAACGAATCCTCAATTTGTCCGAATTTTGGGAGGTAGGTCTCGGGGCCTTCACCTTCACATTCTACTCTAAGACGGTTCCTGATTTTACAAAATGGTTTCAGAACAAAGACCCTATGTCAGAGAAGAATCCTTGGTTTAAGGAATTTTGGGAGACTCAATTCACATGTTCTTTAGATCCTTCTGTGGGTAATCTCTGTGATGTAAATATGACATTGGCATCTACTAACTTCATGCCTGTGTCAACGGTCACTCCGGTAATGGACGCTGTTCTGACATTTGCACATGCAGCGCACGCCCTTCTGCAAGACGCATGTCCGAACCTAAATGGAACCGATGCACGTGGTTGTATAACGGGTCCCGCTCTGCTGGACCACATAAAGAAGCTCTCTTTCATTGGAAACAACGGACACGTGTCTTTCGACGAGAATGGGAACCTTCTAGGTAGATACATTGTGGAACAGCTGGTGAGAGAAGGAGAGTCGTTTAAGCAAGTACCAATCGGAGTCTACGACTACGAAAGAAGCGTCATGGACTTCGTCTTCAACGCCACCATTACATGGGACTACGTCAGCCGAGCTGCAGACACAGCCATCCCCGAATCCGTCTGTAGCAAACCCTGTCTCCCTGGCGAGTTCCTCATCCAAAAGGAGCCTCGATGTTGTTGGGAGTGCAAGAAATGCAGGGAGAATGAATACATTACACACAACGGTACCAACTGTGCGCCATGTCCTCTGTTCTCGTGGCCAGATGTTCTTACAGAATACAAATCTTGCATTGAAATCAGAGCTACCTACCTAGTATGGCGAGAACCCTTGTCCGTTATGCTGCTTTTCTTCTCGTCTCTCGGAGTAATAGCATCAACGATCGTCTTTGCCCTGTACATTCGTTTCAACTCGTCCAAGTGTATAAAAGCGTCTAGCCGGGAGATGAGTTATCTGATGTTGACTGGGGTGTTCCTCGGGTTCTTGACTGTTGTGGTACTCATATCCCCTCCATCTTTCATCAGCTGCCAGATCAGCTTCTTCTGTTTTTGCATCAGTTTCTCCTGGATCTATAGTCCGCTGCTCACCCGGACCAACAGGATCTATAGGATCTTCGAATCCAGTAAGAGGTCTTCAAAACGCCCAAAGTTAATCAGCCCAAAGTCTCAAGTCATCATTGCATCCGGGATTATTTTGATTCAGGTAAGTGAACTGTTTTAATTCTTCCTAATAGGGATTCCGGGTTAGAATAGGTTCCCAATATCCTATGCTGGTCGAAAAAGACGACCAAAGGGTCAGGCTTGGTGACTCTGTTCATTCGGACTCGGATTATTGCTCACAACATCATTCACTGGATTGTCTGGTCCAGATTCGATTATTTACAGGCCGCATCATATAGCTCGAATATTGCTGAGTGTGGCGTTAAACAACAAACAACTGTGTCCTCAATGGAGCTGGAATATTCCAGCTATATGATGACGGTCTGTAAATAATCAAGTCTGGACCAGACAATCCAGTGATTGACACCATGAGCTTCGATCGATGCAATAAGATGACATGCATCAACCAAGTCAGCGAGCCTGACCTCCCGATCCCGTTAGTCGCCTCTTACTACAAGCATAGTCGCCTCTTGCGTCATATAACCGAGTTCCTAATGGACAAGTATAAAGCCAATCCTAATTATATGATATGATATTTGAGATAAAGATACATATCCTTCTCTGAATGCTACTCTTAGTCGTACGGAAGGAGGCCTAGACCAAGATTGGCTGATTAGAGAGTTCACCTGGCACTGTCTCTTGACGAATATCCATTTAAATGACTGAAAAGGGCAGGGTTGTATAACGGGTTTGTCACGCCGGTTATATTCCCACTTGGGTACAATGTGTGAAGCTCATTTCTGGGCCCCCCCGCCGTGATGTTGCTAGAATATTGTTAAAAGCGGCGTATTACCCAATTCACTCACTCACTCACTCATTCCCATTGTGGAACCAGCACAGACACGTGGTGGTGTGTTTATCAATGTAGCTACTAACCTTGATAGTACAGATTCCACTGCTGCCAAACAGATCTTAGATCATCGAATACCAGACTCAACCAAGTTTACTTGTCATGAATTGAGTGCTCAATAGTCAGGCAAAACCTAGTGTAAACATTGACACAACATCAGACAGGAATACATCTGCTGTTATCTATTGGTATGATATTACCATTGTACAAATCGGGTACAAGTTCTGAGCCCAGTAATTACTGGGACATTTGTGTTTTAAATGTAACGGGAAAGCTGTTTACGTTTATTATAGAAAAACGTCTTAGAGATTGTTTGGATGTAAATAATCTGGAAAATATGCTTCAATGAAAGCTATTTTAGGTGACACAGGACGTTATCCCATTCATGTATTAAGTCAACTTCGAATGACAAAATATTGGTTACAGCTACTGAGGATGGAGTCGCAAATATATCCTGACCAATGTTATGAACTACTGAAAGCTCTCGATGACAAAGGCAAAATGAATTGGGTCTCCAATATCAGATATTTATTATTTTTATTTGTGTGGATATCCCAAGATGTAGGGGATACAAATTTGTTCTTTGTTCAACGACTCTTTTAAACAAAGGTTACAGGATATGCATAGTCAAAACTGGCATGATAGTATATCTTCTTCTCGTTTCTTCAGCCATTACAAGGATATCAAGTCTGCTATAGAACCAGAGAAGTATATAAGTATGTTCAGAGTGTCATTACAAAATTTCAGTGTATATTGTAGACGTAGATGTGAAAAGGGGACGTTGAAATGGGTATGTGTAAAAACTGCCAATAAGGAGAAATTGAGGATGAATTTCATGTTTTATTAGTATGTGATAAGTATGAACACCTTAGAGAAAAGAATATTCCGATCTTTAACAATAGGCATAAAACAAGATGTTAATGATGAGTCTTATAAAATCCAACAACTCTGCCATTATACGTTCATTAGCCATATTGTTGAAAGACATATTCTCTGTCAGATACTTTTTATATATCATGTATATCACATGACTAAACATATGAAACTGAAAAAACGTCAACTGTGCAGTGGGCCTTAAATCTGGCCTTAAATACCGACTAAAATATCTAAAAAAGATATAAAGAAAGAACCGAAAAAATGCACCCACCCTCTCCCCAAAATCACAGAAGTCACACAATATTATACATACACGACGACATACAACAACGCAAAAGACACATTGGAAAACTGGCTTATTACTCAAAATACATCATGGCAATACCAGGAAGATGCGTCAACGCCACATCCTAGATAATGCCCTGTAACGCGACGCTTCCTGCGTGAGCCATAATTAACACAACTCCACGTCAGAGACAGTTGTTCTCGTGTTTCTCGGAAACACTACTTACCTGCGAAAGATTAATCAGTGTTAACTATGAAATGCTAAACTACTCAGCTAAATGTCGACTCAGGAATATGCATGCTGTTAGCTGATCAAAGATTTCTGATGAATGTATGAAATTAATCTATTTTCCAACGGGCAAAACCCCGAAGGATCAGAGTTCATAATTTACTTGGCCATTTCCGTTACCAACATAATGCCCCGGTCAGCAATCGTGCCGAGAAGGATTTAGATATGTGTTAGTATGGAATCCCATACGGGACATTGTCTCCCTCACAAAAACATTTGTTTTGGTTGGTTTGGTTGTTGTTTAACGCCGCACTCAGCAATATTCCAGCTATATGACGGCGACTCGTAAATAATCATGTCTTTCGCTGGCAAACTGGTGTTTGTCTGTTTGTTTGTTGTTTAACATCTGGACCAGACAAACCAGTGATTGATATCACAAGTATCGATCCACAGAATTAGGATATACTTTGACATGCATCAACCAAGTCAGTGAGCCTGACCACCCGATCCCGTTAGTCGCCTCTTACGACAAGCACGGGTTGTTGATGACCAATTCTAACCCGGATCTTCACGGGTCCTTACAAAAACAAGCAAACGGTGACAAAATTAACCAAAGCGCGACAATACGACTTTTGGAACATTTGTCGCATTGTCTCGCTTTGGTTAAATTTTGCTCTCTTTGCTTGTTTTTGTGTAAGGACGACAACCCGACAATGTCCCTTATAGGATTCCATATTTTAGTGACGGAATACTTTCCGCTGCTTTAGGTCAAATATTATTTTCAAGGGAAAGTTTTCACATTGAATCTTTTCAGGACATTAAGCTCATCCAGAGACCAATGACAAAAACGTAGATACGGCCCCGTTTTGTACAACGTACTAATTACTGCATTCTAGCACATACGATGGTAGCTCAGACATTAACGCATATCTACGATAGATGTTGCACTTTTTTAAAATCGAGTCAATATTTTACCATATGAATACGATAGTTTTTAGCTGAATGGTGTCGTGGCTTAGCCAAGGCGTCACGTCGAAGACCCGGGTTCGATCCCCAAAATGGATACAATTGTTAAGACTCTTTCTAGGTGTTTTCCGCCGTGATATTGCCAGATTAATTCTTCACAACGAATGACAATTTCTCGTTTATTTCTGCGATATTTAAACCATATAATGACGATAGGTTTAGGATACGTACCTTAAAGTTACTCAGCCCTGTAGAACGTTGGAGGGTATGTTGAAATGCACATTTATGTTAAAATGAAGAAATATATATATGCTAATTGTCACCCCATTAATGAACCTCTATACTTGACTAAAAAGTCCGTTGGTGTCTATTCTAGGACATTATCAAAGTGACCATCAACTGACCACATTCAAGAAGTAATCTATTTCTAACTGATATTGACCAGTTTATTTCAAAGGACGAGGTAGGATAAGGGTCTGCATGTTGAGCAATTGTTTTGCAATTAAGTAACATTTTTAGAAATAGTTATGACAGTTATCAGATTCATATGAATGAGTTAGTGAACGTGTATTGTTTTACGCCGCTTTTGGCAATATTTTAGCAATATCACGGCGGGGGACACCAGAAATGGGCTTCACACATTGTACCCATGTGGGGAATCGAACCCGGGTCTTCGGCGTGACGAGCGAAAGCTTTAACCACCAGGCTACCCGACCGCCCCGTCATTGTATGAGCATACGTCTCTAACATTTGGCATATAAAGACATATTGTTTGGTAGGCATTACTTAGAAGTTGACGCATGACAAAGTAGACACAATTTATGGATAACAACTTCTTTAATTACCGTAAAAGCGACGCTTCAGAATAGATACGCATATCTTGTTTGAAAACGGTATAAGGATCCATACCGAAGCGTCGCCTTTACAGTAATTTCACACTATATTCCAACAATGAGGGCATACATGGAAATGCACAATTCCAAGCAGCGTTGGACATCGTTGTCTGGGCGATTTTACTTTAAACGAGGGGGCCACAGGTGGCCCTGTCGTCTAAGGCGCAGCGATTCATTGTGCAGAGTTACGTCCCTTGGTCACGCCAGAAACCCTTGATTGTGGGTTCGAATCCCGGTTCGCCCCGATTATGTTTCTAGGTTTGTCAGCACCATACCCGTGCTCGAGGGTTTCACCGAAGTGGTTAACGTCTGAGACCTGCATCACTTAGGGCTTTCCTCCCACATTAAGCTGACACGCCGTGATATAACTGGAATACTGTTAAAACCGCGTTAAACCCAACGATACCCTCTGGATGAACATGGTTGGACTCTTTATACACGATGTACCATATACGTAGTCCCCCTGTTCATTAATGCTCCAGACCGCCTTCGTGTTCTTGTGTCCTCTACCCGGACAGGGGAAGCTCGATGGTTCGATCCCTTTCCTCATCTTACCGAACGACGTTAAAACATTTGTCATTTCCCTGCTATATAAGTGCAATAATCTCGTCAGTCGTCAATTAACTTACATAGTTGCCTTGGACAGTTTTCTATAAAAACAGACCTATGAAGATCCGGGGTAGAATAGGTCTTCAGCAGCCCATACTTGCCGTAAAAGGCGACTATGCTTGTCGTAAAAGGCGACTAACGAGATCGGGTGGTCAGACTCGCTGACTTGGTTTATGCATGTCATCGTATCCGAATTGCGTGGATTAATGCTTATGATATCAATCACTGGATTGTCAGGTCCAGACTCGATTACTTACAGACCGCCATCATGTAGCTGGAATATTGCCGAGCGCGGCGTTAATCAACAAACATCATCATCATCATCATCATCATCATCATCATCATCATCATCAATATCAACATCGTCATCATCATCATCTTTACCGACGCCGACTAAAGAAGGTCTGCTGCACCGATGACGTGGATCGCTGCTCATTCTTTCGGTCACTGGTTTATGATGCTAAGATTCATTTATTTACAGACTGCCGTTATCTACCTGCAATATCTTTCAAAAAAAATATTTCGGTTAGGAGAATTATTACCTGCCAGAGATTGGTGAACTAAAGATGTATCAGAATCTAAATATAGATGATAACACCTTTTGTACCCGATTAGAATACACTGTCGGGCAAAACAAAGTCTACACTTGAACACTGGATTTGACAAGGTTTATCAAAACGTTACCAGGCTGAAAACAATCGCCGAAACTCAAGGTCCAAAACACAACTATGATACCCGTATCAAATTCACCACCATCCAAAAAACATTTCTTATCTGTTTCATCTTTAGCCAAAATCGTGGGTGTAAACATTCTTTTGTCCGTCAGTGTAAGTCCCCTGAGCTTTAATACTTGACGTAGATGCGATGTAACTTGACGTAGATGCGATGTAATTTGTTCGGATGGGATCGCCTCCGTGGTCTGGTGGATAGATTGTCTGCCCAGAGATGCTACAAGGTGGTACTTGTTGTTACCCTGCCTGGCACTCGGCATTAAGGGCTAAAGCAAGGACTGGTCGACTCGGAGTCAGTATACTGTGTCTGAGTTGGGTTTTCATGTTTAACTGTGGCATGGTATCTCAGTGAGCTAGCACTATAAATCGGCATCAGTCCGGACTAGTACAAGCAGCCACACACACATACGTGCAGGAACGTCGCTATATAAACGTAGTAATCTTGGTCACACACGTATTTCACCTCGATTGGATGGTCAGGCTCGGTTAGCTTCTGTTTGTTTGTTTGTTGTTTAACGCCGCATTCAGCAATATTCCAGCTATATGAAGGCGGTATGTAAGTAATCGAATCTGGACCAGACAACCCAGTGATTGACATCATGAGCATCGATCCACGCCATTGGGATCGATGACATGCATCACCCAAGTCAGCGAGCCAGACCACCCGATCCCGTTATTCGCCTCCTACGACAAGCATAGTCGCCTTTTACGGCAAGCATGGGTTGCTGAAGACCTATTCTACCCCGGATCTTCACGGGTCGGTTAGCATCTTAAAGCTGTTTGTCTGACCCACTCGATCATTTAAAGACAACTGTGACAACACTTACTCACTCGATCATTTCTAACCATACTTTCTGCTTTCAGGTTGTGATATGCATCACCATCAGCATCCTGTATGTCCCCTCCTCCAAACTATCGATGCCTGTGCGCACAGAGAGGTACGTGGAGCGTAGCTGCGACTTCACCCTACCCGGACTAGCCTCGTTCCTGACCTACAACCTCGTTCTGGTTGTCGTCTGCTGTTTCTTTGCCTTTAAGACCAGGAAACTCCCCGACAACTTCAACGAGTCTCGTTTCATATCCATGTGTGTCTATACCACTCTGGTTCTGTGGTCAGCTTTCATCCCGTCCTATTTCACAGCAGATCGACAGTACCTGAAAACTGTCATGTTATCGATTGTTTTAATTCTCAACAATATCGTCGCTCTTTGCTTTCTGTACCTACCAAAGATATACGCTGCCATTTATCTTGAGACAGACACAGCTCTTCCCCCAGCGAGTACCAGGTTCACTAGATCGACAGACGTCACCGGCATCACTGGCATTACGGAACGGAATGTCAACTTCCTCCAAGTACAGCCTATACACACTTGAAATATCGAGTCCCATACCTTCCTACTTAGAAATTTCCTCGGCACGAGGCGACTGAATGGGTCGGGTGGTCAGGTTCGGCGGTCCCAGTATAAATTGCTTGATTGTCAAGTCCAGACTCGATTATCTACGGGCCGCCGTCATATAGCTGTAATAGAGTGGCGTTAAACTGCCCAAAAAATCTATTATGAAGCTCCGTGTAACGTTTGGAACCATTTACAAATGACGTTGATATAATTTTTATAACTGTCTGCGATTTCACAACAGCCAGATCATTGTACAGAAACATTGCATATTATTCCAGCGGAACGCAGGTCCTGGGTCACATCACGAGATAAACTCATCCCACATGAAAACCCATGTTCGAATTATTGTAATATTTTGGAAAATGGTCACAATAATCATATTAAATTGTTTTGTTTATTTGGGCATGAGATAATCAAACACAACAATGTCGTCGTTAGGGATCAAATCTCATTCGATGTGTTTCGAAATGGAGCACAAAAACATCATGTCTGATGCTTGAAAACTTGATAATTGATGTTGATGTTGATGTTGATGGAGTAGTAAAGTAATTGCACAGAGTAATGGGGATGTTTTGTAAAAGGGGCATAAGAATAGCTTGCGGAATTGATGTGAACGTGTGTTTGGGGGGGGGGGGGGGGGGGGGGTTGAGATGGTAATAGTTGGGATGGTAATAGTTGACATGGTAATAGTTGACATGGTAATAGTTGAGGTGGTATTAGTTGACATGGTAATAGTTGAGGTGGTAATAGTTGACATGGTAATAGTTGAGATGGTAATAGTTGGGATGGTAATAGTTGACATGGTATTAGTTGAGGTGGTAATAGTTGAGGTGGTAATAGTTGAGATGGTAATAGTTGAAATGGTAATAGTTGAGATGGTAATAGGATTTAGTGAGGAGCCCACAACGTGTGTTGCAAAGTGTGTGCCTCGTTCACTTAAGAGGTTGTCGCGGTCTATGTTTTCGTGTTTACGTTGAAATATTACCTGCTTAATGTCCTCCACGGTTTGTTTGTTGTTTAACGCCGCAATCTGCAATATTCCAGCTATATGACGACGGTCTGTATAATAATCGAGTCTGGACCAGACAATCCAGTAATGGTTATCAGGAGCATCGAATCAGGCAACTGGGATACGATGACATGCATCAACCAAGTCAGCCAGCCTGGCCACCTGATCCCGTTAGTCGCCTTTTACTGTTAGACAGTCGGGGCAGTGGCCTGTACAATGTTTATTTTTTGAAAATTTTGTGCTTATGGCTATTGAGGCTTGTGTGTCCAATATGGATCTAGTTATAGCCCTGTCCTGTTTGTATTGGAGATATGATGAGGCTGTGTTGAGGTCTTTAAACTACTTGTTTCGGTGTCTAGCCGGGAGCGCCACATTTCAGAAATGGCTATTGCCGGTAGGGCCACATTTCCAGCTGAGTGCATTTCACCTATTCTAGCGGGTAATTAATTAATCCGATTACCGATACCTTTAAATGAGTGTCCCACATTTAAATTACTAAGCGTGGTGTTCTTTAGAGATACCTTTAAATGAGTATCTCACATTTAAATTACGAAGCGTGGTGTTCTTTAGAGATACCTTTAAATGAGTATCTCACATTTAAATTACGAAGCGTGGTGTTCTTTAGAGATACCTTTAAATGAGTATCTCACATTTAAATTACGAAGCGTGGTGTTCTTTAGAGATCAAAGGCCGTCTTAATTGACACTGAGTTCATCCTGTTATTCATAACATATTTAAGTGATGTCGTGTTCACTCCATATCAGAACCATGGCAAACGCACAAGTTCAAATAAAGTTCATTGAAAGTGTCAGAGGAGGCCTACATTTATACTATGATGGCTTTAAGTTTTGGTGTAAGACATTTGTACTGCAGACATTGTATTTTGTGATGGTACATTTTATGCCTGTCCCAAGTTGTTTGATCAGATTTATTGTTTACATGCTGAGGTGTTTGAACGTGCAGCTCACAATGCCGTGACTGATGTATTTCCTGGGATATTAGTTAGAGGGTGTTTCTTTCACTTCACCCAATGTATCTGGAGGAGGGTGCAGAAAGAAGGTCTGGTGATGGACTATAAGGAAGATGAGGAGGTGAAGAAGCTGGTGAGAAGAGCTGCTGCCCTCCCTCTAGTACCTCGTGACAAAGTGGATGATGTGTGGCTTGATGCCATTGCTGACTCTCCTGCTGGCCCTAAAGTGACTGCTTTCATGGACTACGTGACAACCAGTTGGGTTCAAGGACAGGCCTTCATCCCAGAGATTTGGAATCACTTCGAAAACCAAGGCCACCGTACCAACAATCACCTGGAAGGGTGGCACAACAAGATAAAGAAACTTGCCAAGAAGTGCCACCCGAACATCTACGAGGTAGTGAAGCTATTTCAGCGAGAGCAGTCACTCAAAGAGGTTGCAGTCCTGAGACTCTCTCACCAGTGGTCAGAACCTTCACGAAGAAAGAAGTACAAGGCAATCGATGCACGTATTGCGTCCCTCAAGATCCAGCTCCTGAACCAACACCTGAGTGAGATGGAATATGCTGACCACGTGGGCGACCTCCTTCATCTGCAGTTATGATCCATTATGATATTCATATGCTATTCATATTCATCAATGTAAAGTTCTGATGAATATATATCCTTGTTGAATAAGAAATGAGAAAACAAGACTTTTTTTGTTATATACGGTAACCTGTTAGAATCACAAAGCATGTTTTGACAGCATAGCCGTGAGAGCCACATTATACAATCACGCAACCATAACCATCGCCGGGAGCGCCACATCAATTTGGGCTATCTATTTTCGAAATGTGGCGTTGCCGGCCTGTAACCACTTGTTTCAAGGGCAAGTAAAGTGGGGGGGGGGGGGGGGGGTGTGTGTGTCATACTATTAGATAGTATGCAAATGTCCAAGTGAAAATGCTGGAATCACACGTTCCGTTTTCCGCTTCCAGAACAAACATATTTGGGGGCGTGGCCTTAAAGGGTGCGACGGTGGGTGACAAATGTTTTCATTGGCTGGAGTGCTTCTTAGCAGCTGTATTGTTTCTTCTATTTCTGTAAATACAGAAACAACATCACTGTATACATTGTTAAATGTGAAACGTCACCTTTCATATTGTGAATATTTATAATAACATTTGGCTCTATGGTTGCTTTGATAGTCATACCATTGTTCTGCGACGTTTGACGTCAACTTACTTCAGTGACGATCGCCATGTTTGATGTCATGTAATCTGTAATAAATATGAATTGAAGCTTGTGAATTGTGTTTTTTGTGTTTCGAAGATGCTGTAGTTTAAAAAATAATAAAACGTCAAAATGTGATCGTTAACCCATTAGATCCCTTGTGTCGTGGCTGGTCACATTTAAGAATCTGTAAACAGCATTTCATTACCAACAACCTGTGGGTACCATAAACGGTGACATCTTACTTGTCCTGTAATTCAATTAATAGCTCAAATCATACTAAGTTGATTAATATATTCACTCACTCTTTGATATATATTTTAAAAGTTTTCACTCAGTATAGTGTATGTGCATATTGTTCCCATATTGGTTGTGTCGTTATATTTTGTGAAATATTCATCAATTACTTTGTATCACATATGACATGGCCCTCTGAATCCCCATTGTTTTGCCAATCATCACAGAATTTGTTCCTATTAGAAGGTGTTGTTAGACAAGTAGGAAGACTCTCAATAAACCATCATTCAGTCTGGGCGACCCGCTTTAGCAAAAGTAAGGTGATTCCCCTCCATGGCAGAATTTTTCGTTGGGGACGTTTTCGTTTTTTATAGTCTGGTTTACGCTATTTCAGTTTTTCAAATTTTATTTGTGTCAAACATTTTTGATTAAGTATGCCCCAAAGTATGAAAATCTGCAAAGTTGCGATGTTGACTTTACTTGCCCTTTAAGATGTCCAGCTATCCTGAAACTAGGTTATAGATGTCAATTTAGCCTTGAGTTTGCTCAGAATAATTACTTTGACATCGACCTTGCTGTGGTCCCGTGTATGTACGCAGGAGATAATAAACACAACAGTGTTGTCGTTAGGGATCCAATCTGATTTGATGTGTTTCGAGATGGACCTGAGCACAAAAACACATCATGTCTGGAGCTTGAAAACATGATCGTGTTCTTTCATTGGTCAACCAAGTCAGCGAGCCTCATCACCCGATCCCGTTAGTCGCCTCGTACGAGAAGTATGGGTTGCTCAAGACCTATTCTACACTTTCGCTTTATAAGGGCATGTAATGCTAGTACACATGTAGTTATCTTCGCTCATTATTAATCGCGATTTTTAGTGATTCTACATCACGTGGCGAGAACTATACAGTGTGTGTGTTTATAACGTGACGTATACTCGTACATTTTCTTCTTGTCACAGAATACATGACGTCATGACGTCAGCAAGAGATTTATACGTCACAGATTATGAACTAACCATCTGGACATCTCTTCAACTTGCTCACCTTTGAAGTTATTGGTTGTTTGATTGAATAAAAATCATTGGCAAACATGAAGCATATTTCGTGATGTACACATTCAAAAGAAACTGAAGATTTGGCATCTGAATGTGGAACTGGTCAGCAACTGCTGGGACGTCCCAGTGCTTACACGCGCCGTCTCAGAAGGGAAATGTTCCGTGTTCTCGCTGTGTACCATGCAACATCTACCAACACAAAATGCAAGATACTTCTCATCCTCCATATCTCCAGGGCTCACATTTCGGTAAACCTAAACTAACCCCTGTGGTTCTGGTGATATCAAATTACCCGCCCTTTATTTTGGTTAATTAAGTTGATTTGCTACGCTACTCAGTCTAACGGACCAATCAGAATGCGAGCTACAAACTAGCCTCACTGTTAGGTTGATACTATCAACCACATGGCGGCTAGTCTCATTGATTACGACAGAGCTTGGGAGAAATTCAACATTGAAAAACTGACTGTCACGCAAAAGAAAGCCCCCCAAAATCTTTCTGATAAAAGGGGACACGGGTGGACCCGTCGTCGAAGGCGCCGCGATTCGCTGTGCAGAGTTGCGTACCCTGGACACGCCAGAAACCTATGATTGTGGGTTCGAATCCCGGTTCACCCCGATTATGTTTCTAGGTTTGTCAGCAACATACCCGTGCTCTTGGGTTTCACCGAAGTGGTAAACGTCTGAGACCTGCATCACTTTGGGCTTTCCTCCCACATTAAGCTGACACGCCGTGATATAACTGGAATACTATTAAAAGCGGCGTTAAACCCAACTCACTCACTCAGAGATCGTGAGACGCACAGAAATGGGTTGGTTTGTGGGGATGGGGATGTAGGTTTACCGAATTGCGAGCCCTGGAGATGCCATAGCCTGTTTTCTTCCATCTTTCTCTGGGAAAAGGTAACACATTCTCTGTGATGTCTTCCCTAATTGTCGTAAGCTGTCTGACTATCGGTGTGTATGACTAAGTGGACGTCAAGAACGTAACTGAACCAGGCACGGCTAGGGTCTTTCTTGTGCACACACACACAAAACAATGACGTCATAACAGCGATAGTGACGTCATCAATAACATTGCACGTCAATGAATGAGAAATAGAAAAGATTTTTTTGTTTTTTTTAACGCCGACTCGGTGGACTGCCAGTAATCTAGTCTGGACCAGATAATCCAGTTATTGACATCACGAGCATCGATTCACGCAATTGGGATACGATGACACCAACAGCAATCATCAGTAAGCCCGACAACGTGGCATCTTACGACTAGGAAGTGCTTCTTTGGAAGTATATCCGTTCCCTCAATCTCCCACGGGTAGAGAAATAGAATGAGACATAGAACAGAAAGAAAACAGTAGGTAGACGCCTCTATACTATTAAGTTATGTAACTATTTATTCTGATGTACAGCTTCATTAAAGGACACTAAACAAGTGAAAAAACAAGAAATGTTCGGTCGGATTTAATATTAAGTAAACCTAGATGGAGGGTTGTTGAGCAGGGAGGGGAGGTCACTCTCAGGTTTCTCACCACCTGGCAACAGATGGCGTTTTACCAGCCTACACTCTCTCGCTTCCGGGTCATCAGCGCATAGGAGATGGACGATTGCTCTGAAACCAAAAACCAGCACTGGTTTTACACATGTTTGTTTGATTGTTTGTTGTTTAACGCCGCACTCAGCAATATTCCGGATATGACGGCGGTCTGTAAATATTCGAGTCAGGACCGGACAATCCAGTGATTGACATCATGAGCATCGATCCAGGCAATTGGGATGCGGTGACATGCATCAACCAGGAGAAATGGGATCGTATGGGTGCTAGGAAACAATTGTGCTGTGACGTCATAAACAAAGACGTTTGACGTCAACTACACTTCCGTAAAAATCGCCATGCGGACTTTACCAAAATATCTTATTTTTCTCTCGTTACTTCGTAATGTAATGAAAACATTTTCAAAACCTTTCACCATACATGTCTACTTGGCATAAATCATACGATATACCTAAAAACTGCAATTATTACATAGAAAGTTATGAGTCGGAAAATGAGTCCAAATGGTTGATGTCAGACAGACAGTTTTATTTCAGTGTTGGAGGCCCGTGGCTCATAGTACAATCCTACACATATTGCCAATGGTGGGTGGTATAGAAACTTAAAATGTACATTAATCATGAATCCTTTGAAGTCATTTTACATTAATCATGAGCCCCGTGAAGATTCCGGGGTAGAATAGGTTTTCAGCAACCCATGCTTGTCGTAAAAGGTGACTAACGGGATCGGGTGGTCAGGCTCGCTGACTTGGTTGATGCATGTCATCGATCCCAATTGCGTGGATCGATGCTCATGATATCAATCACTGGATTGTCTGGTCAAGACTCAAATATTTACAGACCGCCGTCATATAGCTTGAATATTGCTGTGTGGCGTTAAACAACAAACCAACCAACCAACCAACATTAATCATGACATTTTCAATTGAATCGCCTTTAAGAACTTATAAAGCACACCAAGCTACAAATCCACACGATTCTACCCTGATGAAAATCTACGATGCTATATCCATATCATGAATGTACATCAATTGTGGAATTTCCGTTTATATCATTAAATTTCTTTTAATGAAAATGGCTAAACCTTTCAAAGCTTTTCTATTTCTTGTTGACATCAAATCTATAAGCTTCTGTCTCGATGTATAACAATGATAACATCATATTTCTGCTTGACCTGTAGTAAGGACACACTTGGGGTAGAATAGGTCTTCAGCAACCCATGCTTGTCGTAAAAGGCGACTAACGGGATCGGGTGGTCAGGCTAGCTGACTTGATTGATGCATGTCATCGATATCAATGGCGAGGATCGATGCTCATGATATCAATCACTGGATTGTCTGATCCAGACTCGATTATTTACAGACCGCCGTCATATAGCTGGAATATTGCTGAGTGCTGCGTTAAACAACAAACAAACAAACACAAGCAAAAAATGGTATTCATCTTCGATCTCCATCAAGTTACATTTATCACAAATTAGGCATCTTGAAGAATACATTGTTTAACCATAGCGTTGCATTTGTATTTTCAAACCATGTGATAAAGCAAGTGTTCTCATGAGAACTTTATCAAAAATTGATTTTATATATATTTAAATCAGGCTCGATCCATAACGTCTGAGACTGAGAAATACGGAATTATTTATCGTTTGATACCAAGTTTGAATTTGAATATCAATGCATCTGTTACAGAACACTCGTACAATAAGATTCCTCCCCATCCTCCTGGAATATCCAGATGTCTGAGAGTCCTGTTTGGTACAGCAACATGTCACCATGTGATGCCCAGATTACTCCGCTATCATCCCCATGTACTTTTAGCATCTCAAGGCAAGCCCGAGGATAACGTGTTGGGCACACACACACCAACCTACACCAATACTTCATGCAGCGACACAAATACTTAACACACAATGGAGATGGCACCACTTTCCCAAGCACAGCATTGGTTGTAGTACGTTTACTTAAGTAAAAGGAATCTTTTGAAGAAAATCCCTTTGTACTTTGTCAACACTTTCCCTAATAGTGTATCCTCAGATCTCACTACCATAGCATGCGATAAGAGCTATCTTAGTATCAAAAATAGAAACAATTATATGTAATGAAAGATTCGGATATTCCCTGATAAGAATACATATTGGAAAACATGCTTTCTTAGCCTGTATAGCTAACGCCTCAAAAGCCTTGAAGAAAATACTAGACAAAGATAATTATAATAAGACACTATATTCATTTTGTTCATTGCCACAAAACCATTTTTCTACACTTGTGACATACCGACCATTTCTAAATACAGTTATTTCAGGGTTTTTTAGATTTACCTCCATATTCCCGTTTTGGCAAAAACGTTATAATGCTGATAGCTTCTTTCGAAGGTCTTGATGTCCTCAGTCATGTATCTCTTTAATAATATGAAATGAAGCTTGTGAATTGTATTTTTGTTTCTAAGATACTATAGCGTTAAACTATAATGAGGTGAGGTGAGGTGAGGTGAGGGCATCAAGTGGTAGAGCGTCCGCCCGGAGAGCGGAAGGTCCTGGGTTCGATTCCCGACCGCGTGATAGCAAAGACGTTAAAAGATGGCACTTGTTGTTACCCTGTCTGGCGCTCGGCATTAAGGGGCTAAAACATGTACTGGTCGGCTTGGAGTCAGTATACTGTGTCTGAGTGGGGTATTCATGTTAAACTGTGGCATGGTATCTCAGTGAGCTAGCACTATAAATCGGCATCAGTCCGGACTAGTACAAGTAGCCACACACACACACACGTGCATTCACGTCTCTATATAAGTGCAATAATCTTGGACGCGACGTTAAACCCCATTTCACCTTACCTCACCTTTCGCTCTGAAAATGCTAAACTAAGGCAACTGAACTTTGGCCTTCCTGCTATTTCTTATGGTACGTTTAAAATTCATATGCCTTAAAAATGTCACTATTAAAACAAATTTAAATCATGATTTAATGTTGAAAGAAACCCTACATAAGATATTCCACTTTCTTATAGGTGTGTAATTGCTAAATATAGACGTAAACACTTTCTATTGTCCGCATCACATCTGTCTTCAGGGTTCGCCTTTCGGTAAACCGACACTAACCCCTGTTGACTTCCTCGCACAGTCTACCGTTTTTTGTTGTTGTTGTTGGTTTGTTGTTTAACGCCGCACTCAGCAATATCGCACACTCTATCGTCATCAATGGAACTGGCCGCCATGTTATTAATATCGTCGAATAACCATAGTTTGTTTCATGTTTGCCCGGCAGGTTATAAATCTGTCTGTCTATCTTATGCTGACATCATATTTTGTTCAAATTATTTGGGATTAAGTTATAGATTTTTTTATCCTCAGATCTTATGCAGATGTCACCCTTGTTTTATCTGTCTTTGATGGTTTTTTAAACTGTTATTTACATACCTTGTTCGCTTTACTGATTCGACCGATTTGAGACAAAGGCCGCTCCATCGTTGATTGGTTAAAACGTTACAACGACAAAAATAAAACAAAAATAAATTGTTATCTGTTTTAACAATAACTGATTAAATAAATCGTATCTGGTCATAATTGTCATGCTATATAGAAGGATTTCTCTGGGATAAGTAAATAAAAGCAAAAGGTATACATGCGGCACTTTCAAAAGAATTACTTGTTCTATTTCCTTGCTATAAACCTGACCGAGCACATTTTCATGACAAAATATTAAAATGATCTTGTCTTGAAATTATATCTAATTGCTCAGCTAAAACATTTGTAAACCATCACCTCACAAAACGTTGATATTCTGCAGGAAAAGAGGTAATCAATTGTCATTGTCATTAATATTGTTGTTGTTGTTACTTCAAGTCCGAGAACAGGTTTGCTAGTGTTTCCTTAGTCCTGTGAATCTATGTGTCATGTGTTTTCCAATTTCCGGGCAGAAGTACGGTCGTCCCCTACCCCCTGGGGCTGTACATTGATGGAAACAGCTGATACATATTGGGTCAGAGCCACATGGATATCACTGCTGTCACATATACTGTAGGTGCGGCCCCACCCCCGGGCCAAGATACCCCACCCCAGCCTTTTGTGATTAGAGTACCGTGCTGACAGTGGATAATGCAGTTTCCATGACAACCATACCTTAGTGGGATAGTGTGCGAGAATTTGCACACATACAATGATTCAAGTGTCCTTTTATAAATAACAGAAGACTATGTTGTGTTTGTAATGCTGGGTATGTGGAGGACGAGTATCGTTTTTGTTTATAACGGTTATAACAAGTGACAGGTGGATCACTTACCACAGAAATATTGTGAATATCCGACCAAACAAAAAAATAATATCATTATGTCTACAACTGATTGTAAGTTAATTAAACGTCCAGCTATCTATATCTATCGAGCGATGTCACTTCGAAAAACATTATTGTCACAACAATAACATCTGAGTACAATACGTCCATTGTAATACAAATGTAACCATGGGCCGATGGCTATATATATTTATTAATCATTATAATGGCATTGAATTTTCTGTCCCTTTGACACTAATGTTATTGATAAGATTCAGGACAAACATGGCAAAACTGAGGACATCGTGTTTATTGTCTGTTTCAATGTGATACTAAATGTATCTAGCTGTCTGGTATTCTGACTGCATGGGCGACCGCGAGCAGGATCTGATGAAAATGTCCATTGTTCTTCTTGTGTATGAATCTCCGCTCACCTTGTTAATGTTATGCATAACTGTTTGACCGATGTTGACAAATCTCTTATTCATGTATTTACTTGTATGCGTCTGTATATATCTTATATATCTATATCTTACAGTCACGACCAGTGCCTGTAGCAAATACTTGTCAACCTGTCCATGCTGATGTCACATGCATATTACTGTATACTTGTACTTTCAATTGTCACTAGTTTTAAAAAAGCTTTTGAGGACAAAAACTCCACGACGTTCAGGGGTATTGTTGTAGCGCAAGCCATTTCAATACTCTTATTTAAAACATCATGTATCTAAAATACCTAATTGGTTCAATATGTTTCCAAAGTCCAGCGAAATTCTATCCCCTTTGTATACATCAAACATTCGACGTATCCACTCTAATCATCACCCCCCGACGGCAGCAGCCTAAATGCCCAACGCTATCTATAAATGTCAATTAACGCCTCCGTCCGTCGCCGGAAGTGACGTATGTACATGTACGAGGGTCACTGACCTTGCCCCACGTTACGTAATTTCTCTGTCTACAAAACCTGACTGGCATGGTCAATCAGATGGGTTCAGATCATCGACAGAAGCGGACGGATTGGCGACCAATGACGACATCGACGATGAAGAATCTCCGTCCGACTTCCTGCCTTATGTGTTAGTGACAGAGCGGGAACCGGGAACAATGGCGGGTCATTCCCGGTGTGCGTTCTGTCAGTTTGTTATTAACCTTTACCCTCTCGGATAGATATAACAGAAAGGCAATCTCCAATACCATATTTGGCATCAGAGGCGTCACAAGCTGCCTGAAGGGTTTTGAAGACAACAATTACTGCCTTACAGACTCCGACACCGGATTTCCCTTGGCCTTAGGAACCGTGAAGATCCGGGGTAGAATAGGTCTTCGGCAACCCATGCTTGCCGTAAAAGGCGACTATGCTTGTCGTAAAAGGCGACTAACGGAATCGGTCATCGATCCCAATTGCGTGGATCGATGCTCATGATATCAATCACTGGATTGTCTGGTCCAGACTCGATTATTTACAGACCGCCGTCATATAGCTGGAATATTGCTGAGCGCGGCGTTAAACAACAAACCAACCAACCTTGGCCTTAGATAGCTGCCTTCCCCCGTGCCACCAAGGCTTCAAAAGTCATGGTCAATTCACAGTTAAATAAAAAGACGATGTGAATTAAAATTTAATTTCAGAATATTTCGAAAAATCCAAACCACCCTGAAAATGAAATGGTTGCTCCCTGAGTGAGTGAGTGAGTATGGTTTTACGCCGCGTTTAGCAATATTCAAGCAATATCACGGCGGGGGACACCAGAAATGGGCTTCACACATTGTACCCCTGTCGGGAATCGAACCCGGGTCATCGGCGTGACGAGCGAACGCTTTAACCACCAGACTACCCGACCGCCCCCGGTCCCTCCCTGGGGCAGGGTGACTGTTCTGGTCTGTCATCCCTGCCGACGGCGACGTTCACTTGTTTTGTCTTGTCCATAAAGGATGACTAATATCCGCCGTGATTCTCGAATATTGATTAATGCGGCGTTAAACAACATTCTTTTACTGGAACCTCAGACTGCTGTCATTGAAAACATAGCTCCACATATTTTTTTTATGTGGAGCGAAAAACACGCCGCCATTGCAATTACGTTTTTTGACGCAGCTCATTAATAATACTCACGGTGGGTCGTCCAAACATTCAAAAACCAAGTTACGGCTTTTGATATCGTCCGTCAGGTCGACTATAGATCCATTTGTGCACGTCTCTCTATCACAAGAAAAAAATAATTGTGAAACAGCATTTATGATAAATAGGACTCGTCTACATTAGCCCTACCATAATCACGGATAGGTAGCCACTCAGTGAGTGAGTGAGTGAGTGTTAACATTCCAGCAACATCACTTTGGGAGACCCCAGAAATGAGCTTCACACATTGTACCAGTTTGAACGCTGGCAAACGAACGCTTTAACCACTAGCCTGCCCCATCGCCACCAACGTCGCGAGTGTCATTTGTCTACAGTGAGTGAGTATGGTTTTACGCCGTTTATAGCAATATATCCAGCAAAATCATTGCGGCTGACACTAGAAATGAGCTTCACAGACTGCAAGTAGGAATCGAAACCGGATCCTAGGCGTGAAGAGCGAACGCTTCGACCACTAGACTAACCCACTGTCCCTCATCTGTCTAAAGGGGCGGTCGGGTAGGCTAGCGGTTAAAGCGTTTGCCCCCCTCGCCGAAGACCCGGGTTCGATTCACCACATGGCTACAATGTGTGAAGCTTATTTCTTGTGTCACCTGCCGTGATATTGCTGGAATACTGCAAAAAAAGCGGCGTAAAACCATACTCACTCACTCATCTGCCTAAAACAGAGATCCGTTTGCCACACCGTGTGTCGGGGCTGAGTGTAGGCAATACCCAAGCTACGGCGCTATATGGCTGACATAATGCCAAAGTGACGTTAACTCTTAACTCACAAACGCATTCGTGCTATTGATGTTTGTTTGGTTTTTGTTTAACGCCGAACTCAGCAATATTCCAGCTATATGGCGGCGGTCTGTAAATAATCGAGTCTGGACCAGACAATCCAGTGATTTACATCATGTACATCGATCCACGCAATTGGGATCGATGACATGCATCAACCAAGTCAGCGAGCCTGACCACCCGACCCCGTTAGTCGCCTTTACGACAAGCATAGTCGCATTTTAAGGCAAGCATGGGTTGCTGAAGACCTATTCTACCCCGGATCTTCACGGGTGTCATGCTATTGAACAGGTTCGCCTATCTAAGGATCGATTATTTATACCAATACTGTGTGTTTGTTTTGGGCAGATATTTCTTATGAATATGGAAAGGGTTTTGTCGTTTTGTTGCCAAGGGTTTATAGGTAGAAAACCCTGAGCCGACCATGACATCCTCGTTTTGGAGATAATCAATACTTGAAATGAATAAGCGATGGCTGTCTTTAAGATGATACTCTTTGATATAACAGAATTTGACGTTAAACACACACTTATAATCATCAACCAGTGGTGCATCATGTGTTCTCAAATTAACTGTTAAGCGACAGCCGATGTTATTAATATCTTTTTTCCCATATCCGCGAATATGTTCATGTGAAAGAATGCATCGTTCATATGTCACTGGCAACTATCTATCAGTCTGTATACCGAACTAACAAACAACAGGTAAGCATTATTGCGCTATGTAAAAGAATGACGTAACACGTTGTCATAGCAACTAGACCATTATTCATAGCCATAGTCACTTCTCGTGTGTTACTGGTCATATCAAATGTAACGGTAATACATAATTCGACAAGCAGTCTGTATATAATAAAGTAATGACTTAATGAGAAGAATACTTCTTCTAAAGCCCGGAGCATCAGACAAATGGCGTGACAAGAGGGAATGTCATATGCCATATCTCATGGATATCCGCCATGTCTTTCGTCTGTTAATAGAAATCCTTGGTCTTGTTTTTAAGACGCTCTCTTCGCACTATATAGCATGTATTCAGACGCTCTCGCCGGTAATGATAAAAGAGAGACATAATCAGTGATCAGCTGTAAACTAAGATCTGCATTGATCTGTGCGTGTGTAGGACTATAGATATCTGGCAATCCTCCCACGGTCTGCTTGTATGTGTGTGTGTGTGTGTGTGTGCGTGCGTGCGTGTGTGTATGCTGGTGTGGTGTGTGTGTGTTGGTGTGTGTCTGGTGTGTGTGTGTGCTGGTGTGTGTGTGTGGTGTGTGTGTACTGGTGTGTGTGCTGGTGTGTGTATGTGTTGGTGTGTGCTGGTGTTTGTGTGTGTGTGTGTGTGTGTGTGTTGGAAGTGGATATGCAATATGTGAGATTTATTGCAGTCAAGATCTATTGATTACGTTTGCTATCAGCCCTCGCGCTGCGAGTGTGCGTATGTGATCGTGTCTGTGTTTGTATCTATGTGTGTGTGTGTGTGTGTGTGTGTGCGTGTGTGCGTATTTGTAGGGTTTGTGTGTGTGCGTGTCTGTGTCTGTTCGTGTGCGCGTGCGTGTTTGTTCGTGTGTGTGTATGTTTGTGCGTGCGTGAGTGTGTGTGTGTGTGCGTGTGCGTGTGGATACGGGGGTTGGCAATCATCCCTCCGTCTGTCTGTGTGCGCATGTTTCTGTGTTGTGACGGAAGGTTGGCCATATATGTTTGAACTATAGGTCTTTATGCAAAATTATAGAGAAATTATACAACAACCATTATGTGGTTTACGTCGGAGAATCACTCGATTTTGTGGTTTCTACTTCCGGAATCAACACGTTCTCATGATTTCTCCACACGTAAGTGTGCGTGTGAGCTTATCGTTTCTGTAAGTTATTAGGATCCACACGCACACACACACGCGCGCGCACGCACACACGCGCGCGCACGCACACACACACACACACACTCCTCTTGAATGAGGTGTAGTTGCGTGTGTGCACACACATACAGACACACGCACGCACGCACGCACGCACGCACAAACACACGCACGCACACTACCTAACACTTCACTCACCTGACAGGACCACCCAGGGTGTGGGTGACGAGAATTACAACCTCAACAGTCTCGTCAAGGTTCGGCAATTCGTGCTTTGCAAAGAAACTGAAAGTAGAGAGAGAAAATGGACGTATTTACAAGTGGGAAAAATCACTTCCATTATAATGTGCATGATGCTGACAATAGTGCTTCTTGTTCTAAATACAGTTTTGCCCCTTCCTTATAAATCTAGAATATCCCTATTCGCTGCAACTATAGTCCGTTTGCTGTAATTTCGTTCGGTTGAAATGCAAAGTAGATGCAAAATAGATATAAACCCTAAAGCAATTCGTCTTAAATGTCCTGAAAGTTGTTTATTTGTCCATATGAACTCGTCACCATAATTTCAGACACTGTCATAAAGTGTAGAAAAGAATTGTTTAAAAAAACTTTCATGATGAGGTATGGTGAATTAGATACCTTTGCCTGCTGTATGCTGGTTTGCCGTCACGTGACCCATCAAGCACCAAAGTGACCTTGCCCTTTGCAGATTTGGCGAACTTAAAAGATATAATATTTCACATGCTTTTAGATTGATGGGAAGAGCATAATGAAAAGGTCAGACGCTTCAATGAACAGGTCCGTCTCATAGACTGGTTTCTAACTGTGCATGCGTTGCGTCACCTTTACAATTCGTAGAAACGCGTCACTCGTCAGGATCTATGTTGATGAATCTACGTTTAACCAGGAATTTCCTAATTTTCTACGTGTTAAAATGAGTAAGACTCGAAAGTATTATAACAAGAGTTTGCCACTAACGTGGCCATATCCCCCGCCCCTGTTGCAGAATGAATGGCATAATTAAATCTAAACAAATCCTAACCTATTTTAACCGAGGTGGAACTTCTCATGGCAATTGAAAAAAAAGAAGGGTTTGGAACCTAAGTTCATCTTGCTGCCGTGGAAACGTAAAAAATAAAAATGTCTAAAAGTTCTAAATAGCAAAAGGCACCAGTTCAGCATGTACCTGACAGACCTGCAAAGTTTCATGAAAAAATATTGAACGGTTTATGTGTTATGCTCCGGAAACGAACCCTACCCTCACAGAACCTAAGTCAATATTGTTGCCATGGAAACGTAAAAAATATAAATAACTTCGTTTGGCGGGGGATAATAAGCATTTCCAGAGGGCAGCGGTGGACGTGGAATAGTTGGTTCACGTGTATTTGCCAATGTACCACGTCGACTGCACGTGGATTCCGTGCTCTGCATTGATATCGAATACGCACGGACGTCACGTGCACAGCGTCAGATGATTGGCTTTATTGCCATGATTTAGATGTCCCATCGGTCAGACAACAAAGGATTAACAACACTCATGTCTTAATGGGACTGTCCCAAACAGGACTAAGTGGAAATATCAGAACGGTTAGGAATTAATTTCTCTTCTCAGTTATCCACAATACATAATCCGAGCGCAGTTCTCTCATGCGTAATGTAATGTAGGTCATCGTCCCATAATTACAATAATGGTTACGCACGAGGAGAAGACGTCTTTGCCTTGTGTAAGGGAGTTGGATATTAAGACGCTTTTATCAATTTTCCAGCAACCTCACGACGGCCAACGACACGATATGGGTTTCACACATTGTTCCCATGTCGGGAATCAAACCTACGAGTGAACGCTTAAACCACGAGTCTACCCCGCCGACCTTATTATTTTCACTTGAATAATATTAATGTACACCCATAGCGCCCCGTTTCCATTCTGTGTTTGTGTGATCCACATCTAATTCTAGGTGAAGAAATTCTAACGTGTTAATTGTGATACAACTTAAATATAGTTCACGCCCAATGAAGGTTTATAAATAGTTGATATGAGCTTGCTTTAGAACTTTCCAAAATGAAAGAATGCATTCTTGAACATAATCCAAGTTGGAATAGCAACCCCTGCTTGCCTGAAGAGGCGACTGTCGGGATCGAGTGATTAGGCTCGCTGACTTGGTTGATGCATGTCATCGATCCCAATTGCGTTGATCGATGCTCATGATGTCAGTCACTGGATTGTTTGGTCCAAACTCTATGTTTTACTGACCGCTGTCATTTAGCTCAGTGCTAATGGTTTTTTTGGGGGGTTTGGTTTGTTGTTTAACGCCGCACTCAGCAATATTCCAGCTATATGACGGCGGTCTGTAAGTCATCGAGTCTGGACCAGACAATCCAGTGATTTACATTATGAACATCGGTCCATGCAATTGAGATAGATACATGCATGAACCAAGTCAGCGAGCCTGACCACCCGATCCCGTTAGTCGCCTTTTACGACAAGCATAGTCGCCTTTTACGGCAAGCATGGGTTGCTGAAGACCTATTCTACCCCGGAATCTTCACGGGTCCAGTGCTAATGGAATATTGCTCTGTTTGTTTGTTTAACGCCGCAGTGAGCAGTGCTAATGGAATATTGCTCACTCCGGCGTTAAACAACAAACAAACAAAACAAAAATGTTATCGAATGCATGGATGATGCAGATCCGAAGGTTCAATTATCAGGTCTTGAGATTTCTGAAATGTGTTGGCATTACTTACTGTGGCGGAGGCGGCTGCCCAGAAGGACTCGCTGGCCTCCAGGGGGCAGTCAGTCCACGACGGGCACCTGCTCGAGTTCATTCCGCTGGGGTCGGACGCGGACCCACACCAAACAATGCTGTTAGCCAGGTACCCGATCAGGGTGTCCTCGAGCGTCACATAACGGCCACTGTCCTGTGCATACTCGTGGGCGATGACGTAGGTCCCGGACCAGAACATCGCCTTAAAATACAAACAGTGACATCATAGGAGGAGTTGTTTTCACTTGTTTCCTATTTGATAAAAGTAATCGTAAAACATCCAAGACGTGTTTTTCCCTCTTTTCTTGTGAGTTAACAACTAGACTTTATTGTACTTATATAGCTACTAACAAAAACGTGTGCACCGCGCGCAGGCGTGCGTGCGTGCGTGCGTGCGTTCATGTGTGTGTGTGTGTGTGTGTTGGCTGCTGAAGACCTATTCTAGCCCGGATCTTCACGGGTGCAATGTGGGATTCGAACCGAGCTCTTTGGCGTGACGAGGGGGCGTTTGGATCATCTGGCTGCAAGCTTCTCTAAGCTGCGACTATGCTTGTCGTAAGAGGCGACTAACGGGATCAGGTGGTCAGGCTCGCTGACTTGGTTGATGCATGTCATCGATCCCAATTGCGTGGATCGATGCTCATGATACCAATCACTAGGTTGCCTGGTCCAGACTCGATTATTTACAGAATAGCTGGAATATTGCTGAGTGGGGCGTTAAACAACACACCAACCAACCAACCAACTTCTCTTAGCTATATTATAGCCAAAATGGGTGCCGCGTGATTGTGTGGTTGTTTTACGCCGCACGTAGCGATATGCCAGCTTTTTTTTACGACGATCCATAAACAATATCAGGGCAGGGGACACCAGTTATGTGCTTCACACATTGTACCAATCCGGGAAATCGAACCCGGGTCTTCGGCGAACGCTTTAACCAGTAGGCTACCCCACCGCCCCCACAGTCCAATGCTAAATCCGAACGAGATATTGTATAAACGGAATTCCAAAGCACGATCTGGAACTAAGGGAAGCAACTCTGAAACCATATTTCGGCACATATGAGCACTGGGGCACTCGTGTCCCCCAAATATGAATAATAGTACACATTCACTATACGTGCAACAGTTTACTGTAATAAGGATAACGCTGTTTTTCACGGCATTATCTGAGGTTCGAGCCAGAAGAAGGAAGGCTACGGAAGCCTTTTTAGGGCCATTCGGTTTTTTCGGGGGGTTTTTCTTGAAATTTCAAGATGCTAAGAAGTTGCATAGTGTCCCCTGATATTGCTGTGAAATTGCTAACAGCGCGAAAAACCAGACTCACTCACCCCTTGGCCTGCTACTCGTGCTCGTTGGTTTTACCCACGTCCTACCAGCCCCACGTTTCACCACACACCAAGTAGAAACTGGCAAAATACTTCTCAAAGCGCCGTAAAAACCCAGCTCAGTCACAATAAATATTGAAAAAATATCACTTTCGTTAACAATAACTCAAGGTGAGCACCAGTGCCTGTGACACCCGGTAAAATGTTTTTTACCTTGTCTATGGGCAGGTCTTGTCGGGCCTGTTCCATGAATTCCTGGTAATTCTCCATGGCGAGCGAGCAAGGTGCCTGGAAGGAAAATGCCTTGAAGAAGTCCTCCCACAGAGCCTCGCAGTTCACATCAACGCTCATCCTGGAGGCGATAAACCACACACACATCGGCCTTAGTGTTAAATTTACACTGAATAATCGAAGATGATTTGTCGATTCTGGTCTATTATGGACATTTAAAAAAAAAACATTACTCCTACGAGATGGTGTCGATATATAAAACAATATTTATGTCAAAGGTGTTAGGTATGACTGAAAGCGGACAATGAGTGCAGTAACTCGGTTCATAAACAAACTGAATATAATAAAACACAAAAAAGCTCGCTGCTTTTCAATCCTAACAGGTCAAAGAGGCCTGCCAGCTAGACCCCAAAATAACCAGCACTGGGTGCCGTTAGAAACATATTTTCGGATCTTGTGGTTAACCCGCGCTAAATTTCGGATCTTAGTGTAGTCTGGACGGATCGCGCTTGGAAAAAGTGAACACCGCGTGGCCTGGTCGACATCCAGTGCTGTATGATATTTCGGATCAGATATCGGACCCAACGTGAACTATTGTTCACCGTACAGCGGATTATGAGCACAAAAAGAGGACACGACAATCCGAACTAACTGGTTATGCAGTCATGGAATTTTGACCCAGCCGCTACTCTCAAACATGTAGCTGTTGACGAGGTCCCGTTATTTGGATAAACTTTCGGATCCTCGGGAACAACTGACTCACTGACCCTACTACAATCTCGGATCGGCAAGTTATGCGCGTTGAAAGGACCATACTCGATCCCCCCCGTCGTGCACACATTTATTTGTCTGATCCCATCCTCATTGTGCTGATGTCAGACTCATGATGAAAAAACAAGGCATTCGAAAGTTTCCTAAACGAGCCAAGGATGTGCGACAGAGTCACAATGTCAATGTTGATTTTGTTGATGGTTCTGTAGTGCTGGGCGATAGAGAAATCGGCCCAGGCTCAGTTTTGCCAGGAGAGACTATCGGAACGACTACTGCATCGAATTTATGTGCAGTGTGTTGAGAGGATGAGCAACCCCGTAGAGTCCTTTGCTTGGATGAAGTGAAAAGTGAAACAGAAGGCTTCTGATTGATTGTCCTCGTCCATACTTCTACGTCTGTCCTTCAGGCAATACAGAACTTCAAATGTTTCGATCATTCAGTGAAATTTTCACATTTCTAACTCATAATTACACCTTTTCAAACTTGTTATTTCCATTTCTAAACTTGTAATTACGCCTTTAAATCTAGTTATTACACCTTTTAAAACTTGTATTTTCATCTTATAAACTTGAAATTACACCTTAAAAACATGTAACTACAACTTTTTATAAGTCGTAATTACACCTTTTTAACTTGTAATTACACCTTTACAACTTGTAATTACACCTTTACAACTTGTAATTACAACTTTTAAATAAAAAATATTATCAATGAATTTGGCCCTAATAGGCTTTCGTAGCCAAGGACCAGTCACGTCCTACTCGAAACTGTCAATGTGTGATTTTGCATGAAACTGTAAATATGAAATGTAGAATATGTAATACATTTAATTAAACTGTCCATCACATTGTCAGTGGATGCCCAGCTTTGGTAAAGACATAGTATCTTAAACGACATGATGGTGTAGCTCGATCATTTTATTACCGTCTTCGCCATGCTTGTGGTTTGTACACAGAGGTCCGCCCATGGTACGACCCGGAATATGTAAAGGGCGTCATGGAAAAGGATAAATACAAATTTCTTTGGAAAAGCCCGTATACAAGCCTCAGACGTATCCAGGCCAACAAACCTGATCTTGTCCTTTTTTAAAAATCCAATGAAACCATTTATATTGTCGAATTTTCTGTCCCATTTGGCACAAATGTGATTGACAAGATTGAGGGAAAACATGGCAAATATGCGGACTTCGCTTTTGAAATGCCACGCTTGCATCCCAAGTACCAAGTTGTCCGACTCCCCATTGTTCTCGATGCCTTAGGTTTGGTACCTCCCAATCTGTTGACTGATATTGGGAGAGTACCCGAGTTTGCTACCAGGAATACAGCCCTTCTGACAATCTGGGTAATGCAGAGGGCTGCAGTGTTGGGCAGTCTCCACATTCTCCGAAAAGTTCTGGGTGGGTTTGACTAAGCAGCGTTTCCTGGGAGAAGTCCTATTCACTGTCTGCATGGGTCTCATATGACCGCATGGGTAGACCGTTACCCTATCGAACACTGGCCTAGATCCGATGTTTGTAAACCTCTCCCTGTTCCTAATATGGTATACCAGATGCTTCATGTCAGATTATTTATGTATCTGTTATCATGTGTAACGGATTCTTTGGACCAAATTGTCTCGATGGGGGCGGCGGAAAAGAAGAAGCATTGATCAATAAATGCATGCTTATATTACGGAGTTATGGGGCCAAATATTGGTTGGGTGATGGAGGGGACAATGTCAACATTAAACATGTTAAATAATTCATTGTCGGGGCCACTGCTAGCGTAGTCGTCTCAGCGCTGCAATTCGCTGTGCAGAGTTGCGTCCCTTGGGCACGCTAGAAACTTATGATTATGGTTGTTGGTTGGTTTTGTTGTTTTACGCCGCACTCAGCGCTATTCCAGCTCTATGACGGCGGTCTGTAAATAATCGAGTCTGGACCAGACAATCCAGTGATTGGTATCATGAGCATAAATCCAAGCAATTGGGATCGATGACATGCATCAACCAAGTCAGCGAGCCTGACCACCCGATCCCGTTAGTCGCCTCTTACGACAAGCATAGCTGCCTTTTACGACAAGCAGCGCCTTTTACGGCAATATGGGTTGCTGAAGACCTATTCTACCCTGGATCTTCACGGGTCCTATGATTATGGATTCGCCCCGATTATGTTTGTAGGTTTGTCAGCACCATACCTGTGCTCCTGGGTGTTAAATATCTGAGACCTGCATCACTTCGGGCTTTCGACCCACATTAAACTGATAACTGAACTGGTGTGCAAAGCAGCGTTCAACCCTAACTCACTCACTTGAAATGTAACTACCACATTTTCTTATGTATAAGTGCACACTTAAACAGTCACAGCTGCGTAGAGTGGGGTGCGTATAACACAATGAGTTTTGATTACGTTTTTTTTTCCCAGGGCAAAGAGATTACCGTAAGCACGTAACACAGGAAATAGCATGTCAACAAATCCGTACTGAATTCGCAAGTTAATCCTGTCATTTAGACAATCTGTTTGTAAAATGTATGCATTTATAAATGTGACTGATGTTTTGCAATCTATCTTTTTAATTTTCTTACAAATTTCATTCAATATTGTTTACATTATTTTCGGCAACAGCGTGTCCGATCTGACTGGTAGTTCGCTCCAACTCCCCGTTATTTTCCGCAACAGGGATCTAATTACGTCTACAATCAGCACTTGTCAGAAAATGGATACATCATGAATGCCATATTTTGCCTCGTTAAAAGACATATTTGTTATAGTGTCATTACGATACGTCAACATATTGTTTTCGCGATAGAAATAGACCCGTGAAGATCAGGGGTAGAATAGGTCTTCAGGAATCCATGCTTGTCGTAAAAGGCAACTATGCGACATCGTATCCCAATTGCGTGACTCGACGCTCATGATGTCAATCACTGGATAGTCTTGCCCAGACTCGATTATTTATCCGCTGTCAAATAGCTGTAATATTGCTGAGTGCGGCGTTAAACAACAAACAAACAAAATAGAAAAAGCGCGAGAAGCTGCAAATAGTGACTCGTCAATCTATTCCATACGTAAAACATGTCCGAATTATACCAAAGTGTTTGGACTGCTATGTGTCGGAGTAAAACGGGACTGGTTACAGTGTAGGGGGTATCACTATGCAATATCGTGTTGTTTTAGTTGCAGGTTTGTTGCAATTTAGCGTAGACCTATCGATGCTATGAGGTATTTAGCATATGTGATGAAGCCAATATAGAGACGGTCAAATCACAAAGAATGTTTTACCCAGTCCCGTTTAACACCCCCTGTCGGGCTGATTTGGTTGGTCAAGCATTTGAAATTGGAGTTACGTCCCTTAGTGTGTCGTCTGCTCGTCTGGCTTTCCCATGACAATGTCTTCCAAACAAGGTAAATATGTATTGTATTCACTGTTAATTAGATACATTGTACAATTTGAGGTTGTGGTATATGATTAAACAGGTTATTATGCCTTTGTTTTCATATCATACCTCATATCAACCCTCGACACATATCAGCCCTCTGGTCCTCGGGCCGATATAATATGATAAAGGGTATGGTATGGAAACTGACATGCGATGACGTCTAAGTATTATTCATGATAAAAATAACAGTTTCAGATAGAATCAAATCCGATCAATGTATCACAATCTTTCAAATTGTATTATTGGGTATTTATAACCGTCTCACCGGTAGGTCTGGGAGAAAATGTATGTGTACAGCTGATTGCTTTTTTCCGGCGTACTTCACGGTGATCTTAATATCTACCTCAAAACAATGCCTAGCATAACAGGACATCCAATTTAAACGGTAAATGATAATGTATGGTGATGTTGTATCGCATTTCCACTGAACAGAGTTGTTAAGTCATGTTCGTTCACCAGAAGCGACACGATATATTTCTACTGCCAAAAACATGCGAAATAGTATCGGGTGCTCAAGTGCCAACTCAAGAGTTGCTTCCCTTCCATTGAGAAATTGATCGATATGGTTCAGTATAGACGGCGAGTTATTAAAGATTGAATAACCCATTTCCGTTTTCTGTTCTTGCCCATTATTTCGGCGGCATGTTAGAGGTACTATACACATGTCCTAGATATTCTGCAAAATGTATTTTAACGGCGCTTGGGTTGCACTATCAACTGTATTACTAAGAAGAGGTTGTCGGATAGTAAAAGCTGATAGCTGCGATGTGTTCAGTTACGAATGTATGTACGTACATACGCATGCGTTGTCCCCTTAAGATTCCCTTAAGCCATGTTTGGTGGTCCGCCATTAGCAACAGGGCAAAGTCATTCTTTACCCCCGCGCTTTTGAATATGTGTCTAGTAAAAAGTCGGCGTCGGCAGAAAGTGATCAGCGTTGCCCGCGCCCCTAGTTGCAAGCAAGGCAAGCTTGATCGTTAGAGACGTCTCGGCATGGTACAGCTTCTAGAAGGCTGTACCTATACAAGGGGCAACTGGATGCCCGACTTGGCTCCCTTGGTACCTATGGATTATCCTTTGCGTTACAAGTTGGAAATCACCCTGTAACAAGACCTGTATTGTACTCTTAAAGCAAACCCTATATTCAAGTTTAAGCATAAACATTTATAATGTGAACGAATTATGTAATTGATCTTATAACACAAAGTTTGCCATTGGAAACACGCCTCGCACTCAGTTTTACATTCTGTCAGGTTTAACTAAGAACATTTAAACCCATTTACTGCATGGGAAACGCAAACTATGGGGATAATCTTTATCTCAACGATTGAAAGACGTGTCACGTCAAAATTGGCTTTGTAATCTACATGGGAAATTAAATGTAAGAATTAATAAGCTCTGGAAATATGAAACAGTATCAAGTAAATGTTAAGAATCAGTTATTTAAGAAGTGTTTTGTTGTGGAAATCATATTTTAAGTATTGAGTCTGGGCGATGGGAAAATATTTTGTACGAAGAGAGATTATCTTCTGTTAATGTCCTTTGAATGAAAATTTGAGGCGTCAGTATTTTAGCTCTGTGAAATGACATTGTTACGTTATCGATATCACGAAAATGTGTGACCACCAACATACATGGAAACTAGGTGCATACATATTTTATGGTTTCAATGTTAGAAAACAATGGATTGAAGAACGCTACGATATGAATTAATGCCACTTGTTGATGATGTATATTGATAGTAATGTATCGAATTACAAAGGTGGACCTTTCATCAACACAGAGCTCCAGATAAGCTGCGTATCTGCGTGAAATACGCATCAGAAATGCAGAAATACGCAGTAAAATATAATCCAAGCGTATCAAATACGCAACGAACATTACAGATACGCTACAAAAATAAAATTTGTGCGTATCATCAAATTATTGTGAAGTAACCCTGCGTATTCGATAAGCAAATCAGCAACTTATTTTGAAATTATAAACGGGCATTCCGTCAACCTTGCCAAACTCCACGATGACAGTTACATCACGATCATTTGCCATCACACTTTCGTGTGGAAGTATCGTGGTATTTTTGAGTCCTATAAAGCTCTCGAACCCACACGACACCAGTTTGCAGGGACTAGAAGAATAGTGTTTTTAAAAATTTAACTTAAATACCCACATGTGTAAAAACTAGTGGGTAACAGAAATTTGAATACGCAGATAGAATTACTGATACCCAATGATTTTAAAATGCATGGGTAAAATACCCACAACACCAAAAGCTTATCTGGAGCTCTGTCAACATATTGTGAATGTTTGTGAATTATGGGCCGGATGGCCTACGTTTAAAAAACAACAACTTACATGCATACGTGTTACCTTGGAAACGCGAAAACAGTAATTTGTTTAATAAATTTCTGGATTGCAAACTTTTGGGTATCAGAAAACAAAGGTTGGTCATTATTATTGAGTAGATTAAACTCCATACTTCCATATAAGCTGTTTCCTTGGAAACCTAAACAATAAAAATAAAGGATTACCAAGCAACGACGCGGAGTAATGTCATGAACCCCAGCTTTATTTCAACACTACACGAGGCAGTGGGACAACGTTTATAAAACTGATCTGTCCATTATTTCGTCAATAGTCATTGAAGTTCACGTAAAATATCGTTAGAAATTTTCTTCCAAGCAGTGGCTGTACGGAAAGATGTCTCCATCCCATGATTGTGTTGAAATGTCTTGTAATAATACTGAAAGTCAACGCATCTTAAAACATGCTCGATATTATCCATCATCAGACACCATGTATACAAGACACCTCACGTTTAACCAAAATATTCAAAGACAGTATCCTGTTCAATTACCAACATTTCCAATAGTCCAAAATTATCATCGACAAAGAAAAGAAGCCGATTAGGACGTCTAAATATCAATATTTTGATGATCCTTTAATTTGTATCGCGGTACCTGAAGATAAATTTAAAGAAATTGAAGTATTTTATGGACGGGAAAGCGCTTATACAATGTAAGTGATTTTCAAACTTACGACTGTTTGTATTTGATCAGTTTGTAGTCCCAACATCGACCAACAAATATCTCTGACAGGTGCGGCGTCGTTCCTGGGTTGTCACTGATGACGTCATACACAAATGACGTCATCATGAGGATGGACAACAATGTTGTGACTGTTCTCATCTTTCAGATTATGGGATCTAAAATAAAGAAATGCCCCGAAATAATTTGCATTTAAGATATAATGGATAAGAGGTGGTATCGGAGGTATGGTCAGATTTCAAGGTGATGACTAGTTAAAATATAAATTTGTATTATCGCTGCCGCTATATTTGGCTTCGAAAGGCTTAGTAATGTAACTGATGAATATTGATAATAATTTTACTTTTTTAAGTGAAAAAACAAAGATATGTTTCTCGGGTAGGGAGCGTCGTATTATTACGCTTTATGTTAGTGTGAAGTAAAATAATCAAAAAGGAGTGATCGGTCAGTGTTTTTCCAGATATGTAATATTCACCATTAGCAGTGATATATCGGGGAGGGTTTGTATTGGGTATATTATGCTATTAGTGGTGATATATCCAGGAGGGTTTGTTTGTTTGTTTGTTGTTTAACGCTGCACTCAGCAATATTCCAGCTATATGACGGCGGTCTGTAAATTATCGAGTCTGCACCAGACAATCTAGTAATTGATATCATGAGCATCGATCCACGTGATTGGGATCGATGACATACATCAACCAAGTCAGCGAGCCTGACCACTCGATCCCGTTATTCGCCTCTTACGACAAGAATGGGTTGCTGACTGGGGTAGATAATCAACGCATATATTGTGTTCACCGTCAGTAACGACAGATGGAGAGGGTTTTCAACTACTTTATTATATCTCTCATACGTAATGATCGAATGGGAATGTTCTTTTTTCTTGATACATCATATAATATACACCAATTTGTTAACTCAATATTTTGATTTCACAAACTGTGGAACATGGACTGGTCAACATATAGTTTGACTATATCAAGACCGTTCTAATACACACAGGTGTCACAGTCTGAGGCACTGTATTAAACATTCAATGTCTGGTGTACATGTACTTGTCGGTGTTTCTAGCATCTATTCACCAACACTATATATCCAGTCAACTTAAACGGGGTACAACGACTTCTAAACATGTGTTTATATGTTGTTTAACGCCGCACTCAGCGTTATTTCAGCTATATGACGGCGGCCTATAAATAATCGAGTCTAGACCAGACAATCCAGTGATCAGTCGGGGTGTGATACCACGCAGTCAGCTACGTCACCGAGCCTCATCCTCCGAGGCGTTAAATAGGGAGACCATCTCTCCTGACACAGGATACCAACATGGGTGACACGCCTGATATACACTGCACATGACCCAATAACCTGTAAATCATGTATAACCTTGCCCTTATCAGTAAGGATTTGTTTTAAGAACATGTTTCATCTGCTTGCGAGTTTGGCAAACCTGCTGTTAATATTCTGAGCAACCTAGTAGTTAATATTATCAATCACGGGTTTGTCTGATCTAAATAATTTCCAGGCCGACGTCATATAGCTGGGACATTGCAAAACAACATATCTACAAAGCGGTCAAATGTGAAAAAAACTCTGTGTTCCTAATAAGCATACACCATTGACCAGAGCTTTTTTCAGCACACCACAGTATAAGAAAACGTTATCTACAGCCTTGTGGGTGATGTAAAACCTCCCTCTATTCTCAAATGTCAACCGCTGTCCTTTGACTTAGTGGTCATGTACTGCAAGTTGTTCCGCAATAAACCACATCACATGCATGTAACGATTACAGGTCAACATGAATTTTGCAAAATAAACAATATCAAACGCAGACATTTTCCCGTTAGCATCTTGTAAGTCTACTTACCTGACTCGACGAAGGCAAACTGTTGATCAAGACAGGTGTGTTGAAATAACATTATCTGTTGTGTGTTTACCTGTTATAGCCTGTCAGATATTAATCAACCCACTCGACAAGACAATCAGCTGTGTAAGTAAGTACACTAATGCGAGTACATGAAAATATCGTATTGCGGGCAGCGTGTACCGGGGTGATTGTGTAGGTGGGCGGGTCGCCCCGAAAGCGATAATCTCCGACGTAATCTGGCTCCCGTTGAAACAAAACACGTGGGTGGTGTCCATCCGTACCAGTCAGGGCAGTCAGGAAGCAGTAACCGTTTGCAATGTGAATTTAAAAAATGATGAAACAATCCGAAATATTTTTCTCCTCCCTTGTGTGCTCCAAATACTTGAAACACTTCAGGAATTATTTTTGTTTGTTGAGAAATTCAAGTTTTAGATAAAAAAAACCTCATATGTTTGTATTTATTTGGGAATATGGTTTAACATTTTTTGTTTGCGTGTTTGTTTGTTTGTTTAAGGTAATTTGAAACATTATTTAAGCTGCCGGGCAAAGGAAAGTATATACACTTGAAAAGTGGACTTAATTAACAAATTACAAATGTTTATCAAAACGTTACTAGGCTGAAAACAGTCGCCGAAACACTGACATCCTAAGGTCCAAAACACAAGTATGATACCCGTATCAAATACATCACCATCGAATAAACATTTCTTGTTTATTTCCTTTTTAACCACTATCAAACACGTGTGTTTACTTTCTTTTGCCCGGCAGTTTATATGTACAGTAAAGTACGGTTATAACAAACTCAAAGGGACTACTAATTTTAGTTCGTTATAACCGTAGTTCGTTATAAGCATATATACAACTATTACAGCAAATGGTCGGGACCAAAAAAGTAAGTTCATTATATCCGTCAGTTCGTTATAAGCGTGTTCGTTATAACCGTAGTTTACTGTAGTATAAGATAATGGAGACTGCTCCAGTCTACAGTAGGTGTTGTCACATTTTTTTATAATACTGATGAAGTGAGAGAAGAGCTGTACTGACTGACACTGATCTGCAGTTTGAATCTTGTTATAGCATATTAAAAATACCGACGGAAAGGAACCCAAAGCATATGAACAAAAAGAGTTATTATTTGTGTTCGTTATCATTCTATCCCAACAGCACAATCTCTGGTGTGTTCTGTTCATTGCTGAAAACGATTACAATGGGCGTAATAACGAAACAAACAGAATTTCCAGCCTTCCTTTCCCTTCCACAGCTGTTCCACTCTCTTCATCACCAGCATATAACGAAATTGCACACAGTATTTAGAAAGATGGGTTGATGCCTCGGTTTTGAGGGTTTATGGCATTGCACAGTATCCAGACATGTCCGCTTAACAAACGCTCAATTTCTTAACCTTTCTTCAATGAACTATGTTCAATATTTTATTGGCTGGTATGAAAAGGGACTTATTTGTATGCAGAATGTATTCATGCAAAGTGGCCATCCTATTTTGATATGATAAAGAAGAGGCAGGCTTAAGCTGTACATTGTAGTTTAGATCAAATATATACTTGGTGTTTGGATACAGCTAGTATGTGGACATGCAGGGAAGCACATCAACCTGTGCACTAAACTTTCTGATTTATTTGGTTGTAAATGTGTTTATTTTGTCGTGGGAAACTCAGGTTAGCTGCGCTGTTCCACCAGGACAGTGCATCCGGGTAAATGTTGTGGGCACGGCTGCAATTGATAAGTGAAGCTTTGAAATCACTGAAGATCCTCCGTATTCACCACATTGGCACCGTCAGATTTCCCCCTTTCCCAAACATGAAAGAACTGTCTGGCAAGCATGATGACGACGTTATTTCTGCTGAGGAGGGCTTGTTATTCTATACCAGTGGGATCCAGGTACTCCAGCATCGTTGGCAGGAGTGTGTGGACCTTGGAGAGGATTATGTTGAAAACTATTTAGCAACTAATTTGACAAAGTTACCCAATTCAGACACATTACCCGGACTCCGAGCCGACCTGGTTTTACTGCCGAGCGCCAGTCAGGGTAAAAACAATTTCCATCTTTTAACGTCTTTTGGTATGATGTGGCCAGGGAGCGAACACCCGACCTTCTCTTCTCCGGGCAGACGCTCTGTCCACTTGACCTCTGAGGCGGTCTCTCCCATTAGCTCTGACATTCTCTGTCTCGCTCACCCACTCACTCTCACACAGCCTCATGTATCACCATCGGGCGAATCCATGAAACTAACCTTTGGTTATCGGATCTTGGTATAACTTATGGGCGTAACTCTGCCCACATTTCTATTTAAGAAGTTGTCCCTAGAAGAAAAGACGACTTACGTCTTGGTCAAGGAAACTGTTCTCAAATTATTGATATGGAAATGCGTGTACAGGTCACATTCGTACAAGGAAATCACAAACTGAATATCTATAGTGTTTGTAATACCGCCAATTTCCTGTGAGAACAGGTCATGCAGTCTCTCAGATTAAAAGCGTATACAAACAAAGAACAAAGTGTTTGTCTCAGGAGTTCACCACATCATATAGTTTGACATCTTTGGAGATACGGCACACCCAACTCCGCCAACTGCTACACTTTGAACACCGTGATACGGACTAGGTCACATAACAGCGTTGTCGTAGGTGGAAGGCGAGCACTGTCACTTGCGTGCTGAGTGTTACGGTTATCTCGGCGGTCGGCTAGTGGTGTCAATAATCGGGTTACGATGACAATAAAATATATAATGTCAGGGTCTTCTCTTGTGTTTGTTTGTTGTTTAACGCCGCACTCAGCAATATTCCAGCCATATGACGGCGGTCTGTAAAATAATCGAGTCTGGACCAGCAAATCCAGTGATTGACATCATGAGCATCGATCCACGCAATTTGGATCGATGCCATGTATCAACCAAGTCAGCAAGCCTGACCACCCGATCCCGTTAGTCGCCCCTTACGACAAGCATTGTGACCTTTTATGGCATGCATGGGTTGCTGAAGACCTATTCTACCCCGGAATCTTCACGGGTCTTCTCTTGTGACCACATAAAATAAACCTTTGCTTGTGGAGTTGTCAAAAGTTTCTGATAACAGTGTCGGTGGTTGGGTGAGCTGTTTTTATAAATTTAAGCCACAATGCAATTTCTATTGTCTTTAGAAATATCTTGTAAAAGTTATCACTTGAATGACTATAAAGCAGTGATGAGACTAGGTGGTCACGAAAAGGTGAGCGCATCCTGACCAACCAGCCACAAAGGCAAGACATGTTCACCTGGAAAAGAATCCACGGAAACATATGGCATAAATCATGGGATTTTGTATGAGGCCAGCCAATTTTTTTAAGCTTCAAAACCAGAATCTACTTTTAGCCTAAACATTTTTTTAAAACCCATGTAGCTACAATGTATTTTTTGTAGCAGATTTCTTTCCACAATCTTAAGAATAATTATTTTTTTCAAGACTTTTCTGGGTCATTCTTTTCGGGATAGAATCTGGGTCTTGGCAGTGATCAATGTCCTGATCAACGCCCCCCGCCGTCGGGGTAACATGACACGCAATCAACCAAGTCACCGAGCCTGATCACACGGTCCATTTGGTCGCCTCGTGAGGGTCGTTTCAAAGGCCTGTCAAAAACCGAGTTTGGCCCAGACAATCCAGTGATTGATATTATATAACGATTCACGTCATAGTACCATGGCATGCAATCACGCACGTCTCAAAACCTGACCACCCGATCCATTTAGTCACCTACTACAATAAGCATAGGCTCCTGGGAAACCAATTCTAAACCGAAACCCCGCCGATTTACCGCATACTTTATGCCTTAAACACTGAAACCTCGTTAGTCCCGACACCCTCCCCCCTGGACCACACTTCGGGAAATGCTAACATATACTGTTTTAATATTTTAATGTTGGATGAATGGTTGGAATGCAACCGTCTGTGGCTTCACTATATATGACACATATGGATCTACAGCAGCAGAGCTATCATTTCTTAACACACTTGAAAACTTCAATCCACAAGATCCAGGTTAGAAATTGTCTCTAGCAACGCTGCTTGTGGTAAGAGGTGACCAAAGGATCGAGTGGTCAGGCTGGCTGACTTGGTTGATACATGTCATCATTTCCCAATTTCGTAATTTGATGCTCATGATGTCAATCACCAGATTATCTGTTTCAGACTCGATTATTTACAGGCTGCCGTCATATAGCTTGAATATTGCTGAATGCGGTGTTAAACGAACAAACAAACAAACAAACAAACAAACAAACAGTGTGTGAAGCAAATATCTGGTGTCCCCGGCCAGATATTACTAAAATATTCAAAAAGTGGCTTAAAACATTCACCCACTTTCACTTTTGATTCCTGATTCCACAGTGAGCTGCAAACTCACCCATGGTCTTGGCTGTAAAATATAACAAAAACATGTCTTGTTCTCTGGTCTTTTATTCCGAGAATATTGCACTCAAGTACATGTGAGTTACGTTGCAGCTCTGCGGGTAGGCTACTCGCAGACAGAGGCACAACATAACGGATAGTGCTGCATGCTGTACAGACTCAGGAGGAAGCAGAAGGCCTGTCATGACAGTCTTGTCTCAGGTCATGGTCATCATGGTAGTGGCGGCGGTGGCGAGGTCAGTGGGTGGGTCAAGGACAAAAGTCAATTCTAGATCTCCGTTGGTCAGGGACAAAGGTGGATTCCAGAAGGTGGAACATCTTATCACCCTGCTCTTATTAGGGAAGAAAATGCATGCTTCAAACTGATACAAATCAAGAGAAAACAAAAACACCCTATAAACCTTGAGCAGGACCTACTTAATTTGATTGGAAATATTGTAATGCACTTTAAGCATGTCCTGTGGTATGAAGTATTGTGCTGTACAAATACATGTAGTCTATGATTATTACTAACCAATTATCAATTATGATTGAACATGGCATCTTGGGGCAGAAAGCCATACAACCTTTCTGAGTGAATGTGGTGCTGGTCCTGTCTAGCAATTGTCCAGCTATATCTCAGCAGCCAATACTAATCAGGTACCAAGCAACATGATTGACCATGATGACACTCACAGCCAGGACAAAATTCCCCCCAAAACTGAAGCAGTTATTCAAAGATTCAGCCCCTTTATGTCCCCTTTTTGAA